GAACCGTAGAACGATTTCCCTTATCAACTTACAAGAGTAAACGTTGCCAAACTGTCTGAATAATAAATCGAATATATCTATCTAAGAACTATACAGTGTTTATAAAATATACTTATTCTTGACATGGTGCCTAGTTAGGTTGGGTGTTTGACTCCGATCACCTAAACCTAAACCTAAATGTAGTACCTCATGGATTCATATTGTAATATAAATGTCCAATCGTGATGCCAAAGATCGGATATTAGCAAATGCCTACCGTAGATGGCCGGATACTAACACCAGAACTTTTTTTGGACTAAAAGACGAAGAAGAAGAAGAGAAATAAGATAAATATTGTACCTTGCGCTGTCAGTCTTTGAAAAGTGAAGATAGACAAACTGCCGTTATCAGAACTATGAACGGTCTAGACGCATCGATCACATGCCACAAAGAAACGCGACTAAAGAAAGATGAAATTTGCAAGCCAAATGACCAAGCAGCTTGTGTATTATTCGAATCGATGGCCGAAGAAGGTATATGTGGTTGCGGAGTCGCAGTGCATTCCGACTTCGAATGAGTGGCAGAAAAATGGCGGTAAGTTTTGCCCAAAATTGTGTTGGATAAAGATCTCGAAATCGTTCAGAGCAGCGTGGATTACAGCCGCTTACGAGCCTGCGAACGATACAGAAAAACAATGAAACAACACTTTCTGCTATAGGTCTGAACAGTTGCTTGGTGCCATACCTTCGAACGACCTTATAATCCTTGGACTAGACGCCAACGCACAATTTGGCAGCGATGAAACGAGTGTCGCACTGAGGAAATGGTTCCTGCCGGCGAGAACGATCACAGAAAATGGGTCGACGTGTTTGTTGAAACCTTGTTGAAAGATTGAGTCTTGCAACTGCGACGACCCTGAAGCGAAATTGACGGTCATGGCAAGACCTGCAGCGTTTGTTTGTTGAGCAACGGAAGGTGCGTGGGTGGAAGAAGTTACAACTACAGTTGGATTACTTACTCATAAGTGACCGTTGAAAGCACATAGTTAAACGGTCCAAAAACATCTCGAGATGCAGCTGTCTGTCCAGCCATGTCTCGGATGGTCTTAACGATGTGCCGTGTGTTGCTGCCGAAAGGTTGAAGACGATGTCAAGGCTTAATAGGGTAGCGTTACAGAAAAATCAAGATATCAGGAGAAAATTTTCAATGGCGTTCAAACAGATACCGGAAAGGCATTTGCCTATGACGTACGGTGATTTCAACAACGCCTACTGACTGCCGTACTCGAGAGAGAACGTATCTGTCAGTCTGTGGGAGGAAAAACTGAGAAACCGAAGAAGTTATGGAAAAGAATACGACTTTCGCGAAATAAGGCGTTGACGAAAGAGAGGAAAACCGAACTGAAATGTCACCTGTCTGAAGAAAGGAACGCATTGTGGCTAAAACTAGCTGCCCTTGTGTATAAAGCTTTCGAATACAGCAATCTAACGCGAGCGTTTTTCTTTAATCCGGCAGTACAGCGGAAGAAAAAGAAATAATACCACCCCGTTTTTCGTTAGTTCGAAGGATGGATCGCGCATGCTCGTAGGACGTAAATGTGCCGAGCGATTTTGGGAACACATCCATCAACTTGGGAACAGACCCCTGCCGCGTACTTCAGTACTTTGCTTTCAGCTATGCAGAACATCTGATTGTTGCGTTGCTGTGCCAACCCTAGAAGAAATTATGATTGCTCTTAGTAAAGGGAAGAATGGCAAAGCAGCTGGACCAGGTGAAGTTCACGTGGAGTTGTTAAAACACACGCCTGCTACTGGATTGCAGGTGTTGTCGCACATCATTAATGAGATTTGGCGAACAGAGACAATACCGGAAGAGTAGCGCCAAATAGCGATTATTTCGATACACAAAAAAGGTGCTCTATCAAATGTCTGGAATTACCGAAGAATCGTTCTCTGGGAGACCCTGAAGGTCGCTAAAAGGATTATCGTCAGCCGAATTCCATCCCACAGAGAGATTATCACCAGAGAAAAACAGCGTGACATCCTTCCCGGTCTATCGGCCATCGAGCGTGTTCTAACACTGTGCCTGTTGCAGAAAGCGTACAGCCGATACTTTAATCCGCTGTTCAGTGTTTTCGTCGACTTTGAGGCAGCTTTTGATTCTCCCGATTACGGGACCATGCGCAAATCGTTAAAAAAATGACGGCGTACCAGACAAAATTGTTAACATCTTGCAAAACATCTGTATCGTGACAACGGCGGCAGTACGAACACGTTCAGCGATCTGGGATAGCTTTCCAATTGATAGCGGAATAGGCAAGGCACCGGGCCGATGCTATTCAACTCTTGCATTGATTGCGTGATGACACAGGCAGTAACAAACTTTGATAGTGAAGTGATACTTCAGCCGTCAGGACGACGCCGGCTGCAAGATGTGGATTATGCTGACGGCGTCGAGATTATGCAATGAATCCGGAAGAACTTCGGAAGGCGTTGATGGATTGAGACCGAAACCACTGAAGTGCAATTTCCTTCTTTCACGGTTTGCTCCAGAAAATGTGAACAGCGTGAAAATCTACAGAGACGATGTACAGTACGTCACCAAGTGATGCTATCTTGAATTAATTATCACTTGTGATGGAAGCTGTGAAGCAGATGTTCAGGAAGGTAAGAATTCGAAAGGCATGAATCGCTTATAACAAGCAGCAATAAAATCTTTGTAAAACTGCTGTCAGTACGTCAGTGAAAGCCATCATTTATCTGGCAGCTATTCGACCAGTAGTAAAGTATGCCACAGCAACATGGACCCTTATCAAGATGGAAGCAAATGCGCTGGACGTATTTGAACGCTCTTGTTGGCGCAGAATGCTCTGCTATTGATTGACTGATAAGATCACGAATGCTCAGTTTCTGGAGGACGTTGGAACGAGCACGAACGGAGTTCGCCGGGCAGGGAATAATATCAGTTCTCTCTCTGACGACTATAAAAGATTAAGACTCTCGCTTCTCTGCCACGCACTGATTCGTTATGTACCGAACCCCGCCTAGAAAAGACCAAGAGGCAAACCGACAACTTAATGGTTTGGATTGTATCAGAGATGAGCTGTCGGATACGCAGATGGGTCGCAGTTACTGACGAACTGTGAGCCGAACATGGCACAGTGATATCAATCAATTCGACATTACCTAGGACAGAATACAATGACGAATGGTGACTAGAAACGTGGGTTGTCGTAACACCGTTGTGGCGTCCAGTTAGTCAATAAGTCAACTTGTCTCGTTCTGCTAGAAACCTCTCGAAGGCACCTGTAACTGGCAGCCGTTTTAATGTCAGTACAGAAATTGAATTTATTGATCAAGTTATATTTGAACCATTTTAAATGCAAATGCGTAGTTGATCGAGACGCAGGGGCCGCCTTAAAAAGGCGAATCATGAAAAGGATGAGAAGAATTGATCAACATCTGTCAATTGGTTTAAAAGAGGCATTATAACAGCCGTTCATGATGGATCACAGTTTTGAAAACTTGCGAAGCAATATTAAAGCTGTGTGTTACTCTAACAGGTCATTTAGTATGCAGAAACCACAAATTTTCTCATACATCGAAGTTTTCGAAAGAGGTAGTCTAGATTTAGCAGCTGTTTTTCTTGCGCAGCCACGTAATTGATTCAGCCAGCCGTGGGTAGGTAATCTCAAGTTGTAGATCGTGGGGATTAACGCGATCAGCGAATGGCATCTATCAGACACTTATAACAGTGCTGCCTGCAAAGTATTCCCTGTCTTGTATCGAACTGCGGTTACTAACGGGTGCAGATGACGACTGTTCTGAGGAAACCGTTGGGTGAACTGGAGGATTCCTGCTTGGCTGAAATCTGGTCAGTACGTTTTCCATTGATTTAGAACACTGTATAACTTTGTAACGCCTCATCTTTGCCTCCTGCCTTTGGCATGAAACATGTTTGTCACTGCAGCGAACTGCCGAAACACCGTCTCAACCCCGTAAGACCACATAGTCGTGTAACTTGTGACCCTTCTATTCAGAGTTTGTTTTGTTTGGGTGACGAGCATATCAACGAAGGCAACAATCCGGAGGCGAGTTTCGCGCTTGATTTGATGGAAACAGTGCGAAAGACAAAAAATTCCTTATCTTTTTTGTTGTGTCGTTGCTGCTAATTATGGAGCCGAATGATCGAGGTCGCTTCCGGTCGTCCATGACAAACTATCGGTATGAATTTCCAGAGCTATTTTTGCGGCAACGATCTGTCACGTTTTGCAGTAGAAACGTGGGGTTCATCACTTTGCGTAATGGCTGCGGGTCAGACTTACTGTCTGAATAGTACCTGAGATGAGGAAGTTATACACGACGCAGTATCTGTTGGGTGATCGATTAATGGCCCGTAACTCGTGGTATTTCTTCAAGTTTGAGGTAGCGGCAAAGCTAGATCGCTTTTGCGGTCGTCTGCAGCAGCTGAATCGTTTGAAGCCAAGGGGGTATTTGCCTGCTAGATTACATGAGTTGTGATGTGTATGAATAAATATAAATAATAGAGGTTTAGTTTTGTTTTACTACAAAACTACCCGTCTACGAATAGCATGCTCCGTCGTCAGGTTATTGAAGATGTATATTTTATAAGTACAGTACGACAGATACTCTGCACCTGCAGTGAAGATAAGTCGAACACCAGATAAAATAATGACGTAGTCAAGTCGAGGACTTCCTGGGCTGGACCGGTATCAAAGAAATTCGCGTAGCCGTTGCGTAAACTTTCAGTATTACGAAAATATATGAATAGGGACTCCCTCAACGCTAGTTTTTATCTGTCTTTGCATTACACAGTATGCAAGTATCTTTGCTAGTGAATACGTGACGGCATTGCGAATCACGTTCCGTGCGCCATCGTCAACAGGCTTGATTTATGTAGTTAATCTCGAACAGGGCATCAGATATGTTTGAGTCAAGGAGCCCAGTTTTGGTACCAAATAAATTCAAAGTAACCGTAGTGGTCAACTTCAAGAACGTTCTGTTTCATGATAAGTGATAGCGCACAACTAATGCATGATTAAATGGTAAAAGCTTTCTTTATTAATTTTTGTCGCGCCGACTCCTAGTTGTACCTGATTTATCCTGTTTACCTGATCAGTGTTGTCTTGTCGTAACTCGCCATTACGTGGGCAGTGTCCTAAAACTCCTGAAGTAAAGTTAATTAGTTATTTGAGGCGATCTTGTGAGTAACCGTTCGTCCAACACTTCGCCGTGTAAGCAGTTGGCAGTCATGCTTTTAGGAATGCAGAAAAGTGAGAAAGACATAGTGAAAGAAACGTACGAATGCCCCAGTGGTCGATTCATCGTGTTAACCTGGTTAAAATGCACTCAACGATCAAAGTTGTTTTGCTCGTTCTTATCAACGCGTTTCGTCGCTGGCAGCCAGCGACATCGTTAGGGTATAAATATACATTCTACAATGGAGCCATAAATCGACAGGAGGGAATATATTTTTAATTCTTGACCCAGAGTCGAGAATCAGTTTTAAAATTTATTTACGAGGGAGTGGTGTGAATTCACGGGCGTTGAAAAAACTGTTGTGCATCTGAAGATGTGCATAAGTCTTGGTATTGGTTTTATTCAGAGTACTGTTTATTGCATTACCCTTTTTTGTCTTCATGGCGGGTTGGTTCATGAATGTCTGGCGTAAATCTACGCAAATACAATAGGTAGCATAAATAAGCAACTTGGCGCATATATACGCGTACTAAAAAGCGTTAAGCGATGTTGCGACGTTTCTGAGAGGGTTTTGTTCATTTAACAGCACCGCCTAGAGCACGGTCTCACTCATGTTGCTTTACGTGTATGTGTAGCAACCCTTTTTATACTCCTTTTATATTTCCTTCTAAAACTAGCTAAACTGCACAAAGCTTAGTTTGATATTGCACAAGCGTTCTGGTCCGAGTACTTAATCACAAGCTAGTGATCCGTTCACTCATTCCTTAAACAAGTGTATTATTCATTCATTCACTCTCGCACTCACTTGTTTTGAAGCCCTCTGTTTTTTTTAGAATTGTGGGGTATCAGCTTCGGGAG